TTTGTTCCGACTTTTTATCCCTAGCAGATGGAAGGGAGATATAAATGATGATGCTTCTTTCTCCCTTATCAACACTGCTTAAAATGCCATAAAACCTCCTTTATCTCAGCCTAATCTACTCTCTGAGGCAGACGAGCACTTGAAAGAGCTTCATTTCTTCAACGCGCCGAGCAGATTGGAGCTGCATCCATCACAGAGCTGAGTGTGTGTTTCTGACAGTTTTTGTTCCCAGTCCTCCGAGCGAGCGAACATGTTATGAACCAGTAGCCTCTATGATTCCAGCGGGGCCCTTTGTGGGTCCCTGTGTGGTATGCTTTGCAAATACTCAATACACTCTCCAGCCTTTTGAATTAGGGGCCCCCACATAGAGAGAGAAAGTGACTGTCATAGCGAACAAAGGGATGGAGGAGAAAATTTGAAAGGGAGTAGAGAGACAGCCTTGACATTTAATCTGTACAAATATTCTCCCCAGCAGGCAATAACCACAGTCTTTTAATCTATTCTCTGAGCAATAACCACTGTCATTTCACCCAACCACGGGGTGGTGTGCTCTAATGACTGACCGGTCAATAAATCCATCTACTTTTGAAGTCCCCTGATATGAAACAAAACCCTATCAGAAATCACAACTTTGAAGTTTTAGGAGAGACAAATGTGCCATAAATGGTATTTCTGGTTGCACCGATTTTGGAGAAGCGGCAGCTAAGGCACAAATAAATATCACATAGAAGCACATGTTCGAAACTCAAGCATGCATCAGTCAGATTTTCCACCAAAACAAGGAGCTGAATGCATTAATAGTCTCAATTAGAATTAGCTCACACAAATTACCCATAAGAAGTTCTGCAAAATTCACAAATCAGCTAAGTCCCCCCCCCCCCCAAAAAAAAAAAAAAAAACAATAACGCAAATCAGTTTTCAGCTCCGAGCTTTACACGGAATTTTGCAGATTGTGTACAACCGGACAGCAGTCAAGTTCAGGGCTACGCTGCGTGCAAAACACGCTTATTACAGTTTCCAGCGTGCATTACGCTGGTAGCAAAAGGTGATCACATCCGACCAAAAACACCCTGTTCCAATGCGGTGTGTGTGGCTTACCGATTAAAGCATTTAGAAGGATTCCCAAAGAGCACGAAACAAGGCATTGGCGCCGTGTGGATGCCATTTAAACACAGAAAATACTCCGGCACTCGTGAAAATATACAGCGTTGAATGGTGGCGAAGCAGCGGGTTTTAAAAAACAAAACCAAAATTAAAATGCAAATCAAACATCCAGCCTCAGCTACGACATATTCCAATCAACCAATCTGCTGCTCAGTCGCTCACTGGGATCCAAGACGCTCTCGCCATTTTAAGCATCTATGAAGAGTCTGTCAGCATCCCACAGCCTGTTTCCTCCTCACACACTTTGCTGTATCCTACACACTGCCTCTGTGCTGGCTGTGTGTGTGTCTCTCTCTCTCTCTCTCTCTCTCTCTCTCTCTCTCTCTCTCTCTCTCTTTCTCTCTCTCTCTGATACACACACACACTGAATCTGGATCTGATCTCGGAACAAAAGAGCCGACTGCTGAATGTTTCGCTCTCAACGCTTGAGAAATCTGCAGAAACAGCGTGGTTTCTTCATCTTGGAGAGCCCACTGCGAATAAAGGGCCTGTGTTACCGGGGTTACAGAAGCAAACGGTGGAAATAAAGAGGATGAGCATGTTAAAAAAAATAATTTATCAAAAAGACATTACTGTCCACATACACATTGCTTTAGACAGAACAAAATGTAAACCAACAGTCTGTAAAATATATATATTTTTTATTTATTGAATAAATAAATAAATAAATAAATAAATAAATAAATAAATAAATAAATAAATAAATAGCATTCATTTGTAACCTCTGTTCAGCTTCGACCTAAAGTGTGCAGACATAAAATAAAATGTATCAGGCGCTTGCATATTGTATTTAAAGCTGATGGTTCAGCACATGTGAACCTGACATGATAAATAGACCGGGAGGACCTCTGGCACTCCGCTGGAACAAAGCAGGGGTCGTTCAGTTGCACTCTACTGCCACCTACTGGAGAGATGACGCATCTCAGGTCTCAATTGGAAAGGGCAACGGTTTCATGTTATGTAATATACAAGAAGCATCACACACTAACGTAGCCTACAGTGTTCACGTCATGCAGTCACATCTCGTCCATCTGCTGTATATGGCGGAAACTCTATTTAATCTTTCATCGCCATGGTTTACATCTGATATATTTACATCTGTGTCTCGCCCAGCTGTTTTGTTGTTGATAATGTTTTCTGTGACACGGAGGACTTTCTTTAGATTAAATGTTGTACTGTGTTTTAGACAGACTGCAGAAACAACAGTAAAAATAAAACCAAAAAAAGAAAACCATACCTAAATCTGACTTATCAAAACGTTGGATTTAAAAATTAGACATGCAGGAGGAGTAAGACGTTTTCACGACCAAAAGTTCATGTGATGACATGGTTTTGTTGTTAGATTGATGTTTCTGGAATTTACTAAAACGCAACTGAAATGTGTTATTAGTTTGAAAGACTTTTTCAGAAAAAGCCTCTGATTTAAGTTAATCCCACCCCCACCCCAAAAAAACAATATTTACTGTGCTGGTTTTTCTTTTTAATGTTCTGTAGATCACTTCAATATGTTGGATGTCAACTTTTGAATGATATCCTAACTTATGTGCACCTTATTTTGTGTTCGGTGTAGATCACTAGGTTTCTCACATGTTTTCACTTATCCAATATTTAAATGTTATGATCTTAAAAGCATTTTATTTTTAGTTTTTTTCTAAAGCATTTTATCCTGCTTATAGTAAACAGATTATGTGTAAATTGTGCTTAGACTGCTTGTGTAGAACATTTTGAACCTACTCTTTGTTCATGGCAGCATCATTGGGTAATTCTTTTGGGTAGGTTAACTTTCCTAAAACAAATCTAGAAAATTGATCATTCAGATTGAAAATTCCTAGCCATATATCGACCCTACTTTTATTGTAACATTTTTTTTTCTTATTAGATTGAAAGAGTGATTTCAGACAGACATTTTCCAAAGCTTTACCTATGCCAACCAGACTAAAATGAAGTTGGCTGTCAGGGTGAAGATGAGAATACCTTTTTATTATGAGGTAAACTCTTTCAATTCTAAACTTATATTAAAAACATATGAGATATTTACAGAAGATCTCTGTATGAGCTGTTCTGTACATGAAAGAATCAAAAGCTTACCCAAGAAAATTTTCCTAGCCAGTCTTTATGTCTTTGCTTTAATGGCAAGGTCATCTTGACCTATAAAACGTGACATTTTCTATGTTTTCTCTCCACCTTATTGAACTATAAACAGTTATTTGATGACCCACCAGAGGAGCCCCTCCAGAATGAACCATCTAACCCTATGTGAAATAATTAAGAAGGGACCCACCTCAATTACAAGACAGTGTTGCTTACACACAGATAATTAGTTTTACCAGTGATGCCTTAGGGTATCTACCGTTTCACTTTGCAGGGAGTCTTTATGCAGAATGAGTCATTTACATGTGGTGTTCATCAATAATTTAAACTGATTTAAAAGGAAGTGCCTTTCATTTCTATTTTTGCCTTCTTTGCACCTTTACTTGTGTTCCTATACTAATTGCAGTAAAAACTACAGAGTAACAGCAGGATGTCACATGCTTTTTGCAAACATATTATTATTCCAGAGGTTAGGGATTTGTGGCTTCCATTAAGGTTTTTTTTTTTTTTTCTTATCAGCTATAACCAGCAGCTGGGATTTGCATATTAACACACGATGGACATCATAGTGTTTGTTTATTAAGCTGGTGACCGAGTCCATTAAGAAATGAACACAGATCAAAATGAACACAGTGGTTTTTAAGCAGTGTAAACCCTAAGGTCTTCTGAACTTTTTGTGATGCTATAGGACATTTAGAATGTGCTGAGAATGTAAATGGTTTGTTTTTCTGGAAGAATGATTGTTAATGGAGACAACAATTTAAAAGATTGAATGACAAACCTAATTATTTTTCATAATTTTGCAGTTTAAATACCTGTCCTGCCCATTCATCTAGAGCGGGAATCCTCAAGTCCAGGCCTGGAGGGTCATTGTCCTGCAGGTTTTTCCATGTGTCTCTGCTTCAACACACTTTAGTCAAATAACAATGAGATGTAATTTTTTTCAGTCGAGTCATTGAGAGCATCCTTCTAGATGTATTCCTTCTTCGACGCTCCTGAATCAGATGAACTAAGTGTTATCAGGCCTCTATGGAGCTGACAGCTGATGAGTGTCTTCAGCCAGCTGATTCTGGGGCAGATGTTTTTCAAGAACAGGGCTTGGGTGCCCCTGGCCTACTGCTTCTTCTACATTTCTTTCTTGTCCTACTGCCTCTGTAACAAAACTGTTACAGTGGCAAAATTGTGCCACTGTAATGTTTATTGTTTCCCTCAGACAATTATTTACCTATATGGTCTACTACATTTATTAAATGTAGTGTAACAGGAGTATTGAACTTGGATTTATCTGAATTTGACAGAAGTGAATATAACTGTTTGGAATAACTTAGATTTTATGCATTTTTGCAGATGAGTTGGATCTTCTTATCTCATAAAGACCCAGGTGTCAAGTCCTTTTTGTCTTTAAAGTAAAAATTAATTACCTATGATTTCCTTTTACGTCGGATTTCTAAAGAAAACACCTCAGCTTGATTTACCTAGAAATTGCCCCTAGATGGCGGAATTATGATGAAATCCTAAGCCAGTCTTCTCATGTTTCGATTTCAAGGGTCCAGGTAAGAAATTCAGAAAAACAAATCAATATTAAAGCAAATAAACCTCTTAAAAACAAAAAAGTTGGGGTACCTTCTGACAAACAAATGAACAGTTTAAAATAGGAATAATCATAACAATAATAAAAATCTTTTCCATTTTTGCCGACGGAAAAAGAGGCCTCGCCACTCCCCTTTATGCGTGCCTGGTCTGTGCCCGCGCATGTGAGCCCAGGAGGGTACAGTTTCACTGACAGACGGTCATTACGTGATTATGATCCACCGATCTCCCATCGATCTGATCAGACTCAACCCTTTCAGCGTCTGACCGATGCCTGTTCCTTGCACGGTGGCTTCTCCATCGATACGAGGGGAGACGGCGGCATCCTCACTGCCTTTGCTACTTTCCTGAAAAGGTGAAGCAGCCTTTATAATCACACCGTTAGCCGCTATGAGACGACTAACGGGAAAGGCGAAGGAGGAAACTTTGATCGAGCTGCAGAGCGCCTCGGATTCTCTGAACACAGGTGATTGCACACATTTAAGATCGTTGTTATTATTAACAACATCTTTGAGTTTGAGTTTTCATTCTTCTCAAAACGGGAATATTTGTGAGTAAGACTGGCATGCGTTCGCCTCTTGAGGTGAAAGCAGCACGCTGCAGCAGTAGTAATCCTTAACCCACTGAGCTGGTAACCCCTTCCTGCAACTGAATGTATCCCCATGAGGATACCACATCCAGGTCAAAATACAACCACAGTTCAACAAGTATATTTTCATTTAGCGGATATTTTCACAGGGCTTGTGTTAAAACACACATTTTACATGTTGCCAACTCCCTTACACGTCAGAAATAAGTTAGTCAGTGATGGATGGAGGACAATAGCAGAGCAGTCTATTGTTACCGCGTCTTGAAGATGTTTGGCAAAAACTGGTCACTACTTTACTCCATCAATAGTCACTAATGGACCTGCTTGATCACAGGGCTTTTTTCTTAAGACGCAGAAACGGGCAATATAATTAGAAATGAGAAAAGTCTGTGGACAAATATGTGTTTTCTTCTTATCTGTGTTCTGTGTAATTGCCTCCTCTGAGATAGTCAGGCTTCACTGACTCTGAGTTGAGCTACAGTTTGTGGTTTTAAATAGCTGGTTCATTAGAAAACACTTTGTCACAGTGTTTGCATATCTTTGTGCAATTAAATTACACGATTTTTGAGTACTTCTGAGAGTAAAAAAAAAAAAAAAACAGACAAAAAAAAGTTACCACTAGTGTAAAATGCAGAGATTAAGCAGAAACTGATTACATGTAATCTGTGTCTTTGGTCAGAGAGAGATGAGGTGACTGATTTCTGTTTGTCATCAACAATGGGGAAGTCATTACATTTGAAATAGTAAACAGTGAGTCATCTGCAGTAAGGTGTGAATAGAACTGGTGTTGAAGAAAAAAGAATTGCACTCAAAGGCTTGCTACTCTATACGATTCTTTAAAATAATGTGAAACCTACAGATCTCTGGCATTGCGGATTAGATTGATAAATGGCATCAAAGATTGAAACACTCAATATGCCAATGGTGATTTTTATCTTATGTCTTAAAATCTCATGAGTCTCATTCATCCCAAGTGAGTTTAAAGTCTTCATATGAACAAGTCTTATGCTTAATGCTGGTTGATTAAACTCCATCAAGCGTGAAAGGATATAAAACTTATAAAATTAGCTGAAAGTAATACTCAGATTTCTGATGTGATTAAAAATAAATAAATACATGATTTTTTTTTCTATTTCTAAACAATAATGGCAACAGAAACAACCCCAATGTTTACATAGCCTACTTTTTACCATTGTGGATTGGCATCTTTTTTGGTTGCTGTGACAGTTTTTGTAGAGGGTAAACTTTCACATTCTTTTAGGCAAAAAATCTTCAGTTCATTTCAAGTTATATGAATTCTGTTTTGCATAAAGTGCAGGATTTAGTTAGAGTTCCTCAGACTGGTGCAACGAGTGGCGCTTTCATGTTGCTGGCATATTAACGGCTTCTCTCTGGCGACGTATCCATGCAGTCCATGTTTTCATTTATTTTCTCAGATGCTAAGTTTTACCAGGATGTGCAAAATTTATGATCAGAACTGTGTTCATGTTAAAAATGTAAAGATTTTTGCACAAACTGTAATTTTACTGAGTTCTTCACAGTTAGCTTCAGCTTCATTTGGCTACACTGTTTTTTTATTATTATTATTTTTTTATTAATAACAATTCTAACCCCTGGGTCTTTTTTGGTATTTCTTTTTCCTATTTTGAGATATTTTTTAAATATTATTTTATGGAAAATTAAATTACAGTAAATAAAATCTGTTAAAAGCAAACAAATTGTCCACTAATTTCTTTCTTTCTTTTGTTCCTTGTCATCCTGGACAATGATTACAGATCCCAAATAATCAGGTTAATGCCATCCTGCATTTGCTTCAAAATTTCAGTAATTATCTACGTAAGCGAGCTCTGCATGAAAGATCGTCATGGAAAAGGAAAAACAAACACTCCTGCTGAATCACTCAGAGCTCAACAGGCATAATGAACTCTACATCTAATATTTTGCGTTTTAATTTTTAACCACCTACTGGCATAGTTGCTAGTGGAGACAGGCTTTTAATTGTATGTGGGTGAGTTGTGAGTTAATAAACTATTGTTGGTTTGCAGAGGCTTTGCTCCTGCTCTTATCAGGAACATGTCAAAGGGGGAACAGAGAGCAGAGGAAAGCCTCTGTCTTCACTTGGTGTCACAGCTGTCCAAACAGTGATTCATAGACAGCCTTTGCTACATACTTGTAACATATTGTGCTGACTAGTGTGCACTTAATTAACGTGGGCATTGTTTTCCTAAACCTTAAATGGGTGAATATACTTTTAAACTTTATGTTGCCCACATTTCCATTTTTAATAAACCTAAAGAGGGTCAGTTTTATTACAGCAGCCAGGAAGTAGAATACATTAAGTAGCTCTGGTAATTATAATGATTTGTTACTTTTCAGAAGCATTCATTGGCAGCGATCTCATTTTGCTGTATATCACACAGCCAGTGAAGTCATCTTTGTTGTCAGAGGTGAAGCAGAGCAAAAGGAGTTGCTATGGAAACAGGCTTTGTAATTGCGTTATCCGGTCAGAGAGATCCACGAAACAAGATGAGACAGCAAAAGATTTCCCTTCTGCAAAAGACAATCACAATTGAAAGGCTTGGATTCCAGACTTAAGTAGTAGAAAAATACATTAATTCAAACATGCATGAAATGTTTCCAGTGTTTTAAATACAGAAAATATTATCTGCATGAACAGCATTTATATGTCGTGTAAAGAATAGTTACTCAATACTTGTATAATCATAAGTTGCTGACATGCAGAGGCCATCTGCTTGTAGCTTTTCTGTGTTTTAGAGTCAGATGTATCATTCTCCTTTTGAGAAGACTGCATGGATTCTCCATGGGGTTTACGCCAGGCAAGTTTACTAAATTTAGTTCCTCGGACGGTAGTCCACACCTTCTGACTCTTCCATAAACTTTTGAATGGACTTTACAATATTTGTGTCCATTTGTCTATGACACTTTTTTTCCCACTCAACTTTCTATGAACATGCTTCAATACAGTCCTCTGCGAACAAATCAATGACCTTTTGTTGGTTAACGTGTCGTCTGAAACATGTCAGTGACTGCCTGCTTTTCAACTGTCAATTAAGCAAAGCCCCACATGATGTTTTTAGGACACAGCATGACCATAACGCAGTATTTGTGATAAAATATGTATGTTTTTAGTTATAATTTTCTAAGAACCTAAATTTTGGGTTTTTGTTACCAGTAAATTATAATTCTTTAGATTAACATGAACACCACCTGGAATATTTTACCTTGCATAATGAATCAGTGACTCAGTGGCATATGAGAGATTTACTGAGATTTCCTTTTTAAATTGTATCACTGAATAAATTAAGCGTTCAATAACATCCAGATTCATTTAGATTCAATTGTAGAATCTGTAGATCAGAGCTTACGCACATGTCCCTTTCTACCTTTTGCTTACGTACTTTGAATTCAGCTCTGTGAATTTCATTCACAGAGCTGGAATGAAATTATTGTTATTTAGATATCAGCTACTTTGAAAGCAAAGAAAGCAAACACATTGTTGGTGTATAGTAGCTCTTTAGAAATGTTTCAGGATTCAGTTGCAGGTTAAAAGACACAAAGGTTGTTCTTATTCTTGCCTTTAATTTCAATCATGTTATTTAAACGTTCTGTGTCACAGCACAGGTTTTGTAAAGCATGTTTTTATTATACTGCTCAAAAAAATAAAGGGAACATTTCACTTTAATTTTGTGTGTGGCTCCAAATCCAGGCCTCCATTGGTTAATAAATTTGATTTCCATTGATGATTTTTGTGTGATTTTGTTGTCAGCACATTCAACTTTGTACAGAACAAAGTATTCAATGAGAATATTTCATTCATTCAGATCTAGGATGTGTTATTTGAGTGTTCCCTTTATTTTTTTGAGCAGTTTTTTGATCTTTTTTCTTCAGTCTTCCTGCTTACCTGACTCATGTTGTGGATATAGTATTATGTTTTATATAAGTTACACTGCGATATTTGAAGGTGACATATTATCCTAACCAATCTTGACCTCCTGTGCTTCAGAAAAAATCTGGAAGTTATTTTTTTCTTTGGGTCAACAATATCCTAATGATAAGAGAGGAAGCTGGTATTTATAGGTGTGCTAACAGGAGAACACAAACAATAAGACTGTTTCCTTTTTTGTTGTTGTTGCTAATTTATCAAAGTTTTATCTGGTCTTAATGATCGCAGTCAGTTTTGTTTACTACTTCACTGTCAGGAAATGTGAATTTACAACGTGAAGGTCCATTTCAAAACACATTTCAAACCTCAAAACACGGGGCCTTATTTATAAAAAGAAAGCCATTTCTTGGCTTGAGAAGTTTATCAAATTTTCCTTCAGAACTTTGCAAGCTGCAGGCTGAGCAGGAAATGTGGGGTGTGAGATAGAGATGATGTCTTGTCAGAGAAGACGTAGGGCTGGGTTTAGATTCAGGATGTTGTGGCTTCTCTTTGACACAGGGCACTGCGTGTCTCCTACGCTATCAGGACTTACTGCTTGCCATAAGTGTTTATATATAAACGTTGCTGTTTGAATATAAACACTTATGACTTCGTGGTTTTCTAATTTGTGATAGTGTTCAGAGATCTTCGCACTGGTACGAATCAGTTGTGAGATCATTTTTTTTCCCTGTTTTGTTCCTTGTTCTTACAAAATACTGAACCAAATGATTTGCTCATTAATATTTCATTTTCTGCACTTGATACTCCTGCGAGACGATTTGGCATTAATCAGACATTTGCTAAGAGTGAAGTCGCAAAATGTGACATTTCTCCACTTGAGAAATGTCTTGTGTTGTCATAACCCGCTGCTGTGTTTAGTTACACCTCATGTTTTTGGAGCGCAAAGAAACACAACTCTTGAAAGCCAGAAAAAACAAATGATGTGTTGGTCTGAGTGAAATAATCTTGTAAGCAGGAGGCACCTACACAGCCTGCCTGAGTCATAGTGAAAATCTGTTGTCTTGATACCCACACAGCATGCTCTGCAGCAAATGAAAGTGTGTATTTGGTGATCTTTTGAACTGCTATATTGCTTTTACTCACCATGTAGTAGTTTACCAAAGTGGAGCTGCACTACTTGTGACCGTCTGTCTCGTGCAACTTTAAATAAAAAAGCTACCCTTTCCAGTTTATTTCTAGTCTCTAACCATTTTCTATCTGTCCTTTGAAGATGGCCCTGCTGTTCTGACTGCATTCAGGATAAACTTACACTCAGGTACGGGCAGATCAGAGGCTTCATGTCATGCCTTGCTGTCTGTTCTCTTGTCGTCATGTAATGCCGTTTCTCCTTCCATGCGCTGCTCTCACGTCTTTGGACTCTCATCTTTGGTCGACCTTATTACTGTTCTCCGATGCAGAAGTGTGTCACCGTTTTCAGATACAAACGTCTGCATGTGTGTCTGTCTGCTTTCGTTCAACTTTCATCAGTCAGCTTCTGGTTGTTCATGGCTGTAGCACCGGTCCTGCAGTGGTGCATGCAATAATTTTCTGCAGTAAGAAGGTCGCAAGTGTGTCCTAATGAGGGTAACATCACTGAGCTATTTGTACACACAAATATGAAACCCACTTTTTCTTCCACTTTCTATATACATTCAAATTCGGGTGGTGGGAGTCTGATGTCTAGCTACACAGCGGAGAGTGTCACCTGGTGTTCAGAGTGCTGCAGGGATAGAAAAAAGATGACCAAACCATTCATTCACACTCACAACCAAGGATAATGTAGAATTTCCAGTTAACTGGAAAAGCTTGTTCTTAGGACATTGGAGGAAGCTCAAGCACACAGCACAGCTTTATTTTTGTATAACAGTCATAGGAAACACTTTTTATGTGTGAATCCCAAGGAGTGCTGTCATTCTTCTGCTTTTAGTAACGTTGTCTGTTTTAAGAACAAAGGCTTCATTCTGTAGTAACCTTTAAGATTATTCATCAGCCTTAAAGACCTGCAACATACTAAGATTAGATGATTAACAAAATGATTTTTTAATCAATCAGTGTTAACATTTCTAAACTGGTCAAGGTGATAATCAAGTACATTCATCCTAAATTGCACTACATTGCACCATGGGAGTACATGACTTGTCTAAATGCCGTTCTTGCTCTTGCATCTTGCTGTGCATTTACATACAGATGGGTGTTTCCAGTGCGAAACAGATGACAGTGAATGTGATATTTTCTTGTGTGTTTGAGTAAGTGGGTGGCTGACATATTTGTTGCTTCTTCTTCTTTTTTTTTTAACATCTTTTTGTAACAAAAATAGTAAGACGAGGAAGACAACCCACACAGAGAGATGCTGGCTGTCTCTCAGAATATTCATTTCATTTTGACTCAGGAGATTCTGCTGAAATGTAAAATTAAACGACTGAGCACTGCATGGGTTCACAGATGCTGCAAAGGATTGAACTTTGTTCTGAGAGGGATGATGGAATTACTTGTGTGGACCACTGCCAACGCATTAAATACAGCAAATCAGCTCCTTCTTGTTGTAATTTATGCCTTGACACAAGTGACTTCCTCCTCTGATGTCTTCCACTGAACTATGTTCATCCAGAGTATTACTGATACTGATAATACTCTCCCAGCTACTTTGGTGATTAAAAATGACTCATGTCACAAAATGCACCTAACTTTGAATAGAAAATCAATTGTATTTTTTATAAGAAAATTCAAATCAACTGCAGTTTTATTTATTGTAAGACCCACAATGTATGTCAAATGTCGGCTTACAAGGCTTATGTGAGTAAATTGTTGCACATAAACAAAATAGACCTTTTTAGAAAAACTAGCAACACCAGAGACATTTGATCCATTTGAATCCTTCCCAAAGGTTGAAGCCAATGATAACATGAACAAGAAACAACAAAAATCTGCCTGAGCAGAAAACATGGGTTATTTACACTGACAATTGGTTACAACTGATATGAGGTGGAGGACGTTATCAGCAAGTGAGGAACAGGTGATAGATAGCAGAGACAAATCTTCTAAATAATAAAATGAAAGAATATAAAACAGACAAGAGAAGTAACACAAACAAAATTGAACACAAACTACAAAATAGAAAAAATCCCAAAAGAAATCCACATATCCCATGCTTTTCTTGACTTTAACGATTGAATGAAATAATGCAATTATTTGAGATCTGAGCGATTCTCTCAGATCTCTGCAGACTGAGAGGCAAACTCGAACTGCACTTGATGAATGTCAAGTTATTTATTTCAGTATTGACTTTTTCAAGGGATATATTATACTGCAGATATTTTCATGGCCCTGATGAGGTTCGATTTACATATAAACCTGTAACATATCGATCTAAAAAGGCAGGGATCGTGCCACGGATCTTTGCTTCCATTTAAGGAAGCTAGAGTTACAGTGTCCTTGTTTGTCTTGATGATGTTTTGTTTTGCTCAGTGGTTTGCTGTTGCAGTTTTTCAACATGCAGTTGAGTTTTAATTAACATTGTTAATTGATTGTTTTAAATTCATTTATTGTTTTTGTCCATAACTTTGACATTTTGGGACACATTGGGAGCCTTGTTTCTATGCACCTCTTCTGACCGCCACTAGCAGCATGCAAGGCAGGTAAAGTGTCATCCCACCAGTGAGCCACTAGTTACAGAACAAACTCCAACCACCAGAGCCACTCACTGTCACCCTACCGCTTTGTGGTTGAGTTGTTCTCTTTACCAGCTCCTGCCAGGTTATTATAATATCTCTTACAGATGACAGCTATATATTAAGTAACAAGGACATTTTATTACTACTAATTGCATAGATGATGGTACCCTATCAATGTGCTGAGCTGTAATTCACTGAGCTCCAAAGAGTCTCCCATTCTTTCACAGATGTTTGTAGATGGAATATAAATGCCTCTGGGTGTAATTTAACCCACATATGGCCATGGAAGTGAATTCAGTGATTTGGAGGAATGATCCAAAGCATTTTCCAGTGTAGGGTTAAAGGCACCTTTCTTACCATAGGACTTTGTCGTAAAATTTTTGAATTGGGGCTAGGTTTCACATAAACTCTTTTAAAGTTCTGTTCATCATCATCATCACCTCTCATGTGAAACTTTATGTCTTTAATTCTGTTGCTTATATTCTCAATTTGACCTGTTATTTTGTCTCTATGACTTGGCATGGTCTTCATCTAATGCTTGGGTTTCTAGCGATGGTGCAGTTGTCTAATGATGATATGGTGACAGCTTTCTGCATCCAACTTGGACAAAGGGTGGATGCAGATGTTTCTGTTGATAAAATTTAGGTATTTAGAGAAAATGAATATCTGAGTGTTTCTTTCACAAGCTGTCATAAAAAAGGTAAATTAAACCCAGTGTGGACTTATTCTCTGCTATGTGCCAGTTTGTGCCTTGACTAGACAGAGTAAGTAGAGCAGCTGCCCATTTTAATACAGTGTTATTTCTGCTAATAAGTGTTATTTAGAGAGCAAAATACCCCAATATGTCACAGCAAAACATTAGATAAGTTAAAAGGTACTTTTAAATAGTATTTGTTATAATTTTGACAATTAATTTAATCTCACAGAATCCTAAGTGTCACTCAGATGAAAGGACTATTGACAAATATTTTACAGGGCTGGCAGTCTGATGCTGCATGGATTCAAAGGGGATCTTCTGTAAATAGATAAATGGCTCATTAAGATGACCTAGTAAAAAGTGGGTTAGAAAATGAAGTACAGGAGGGTTAAGTTTAAGACTTAACTTTTTCAAGAAAAACATGAGAAGGATAACTAACTAACTTTGAAAGTAAGTATTATTTGAAAGTATACTTGGTGTAGTTGTCTAAAGTTTCCAGTTATTTGTATCTCTGTAGATTTAACACACATTCTCCTGGCCTTTTGCTCCTGTTTGCTCAAGCCGGCCTCTGATAGCTGCCAGTGTGGTTGGAGTGAGGCCAAAACACTGAGACAAAAAAAGGAACGAGGAAAATCGCTGCTTGGAAATAAGCAAAATTGAGGCAAAGAGTAAAACTGAGGCAAAGAGCCAATCACTCTTCCCACGAGTTTCATGAAGTGATGTGGACTTTTTGAATCTTCAGAGAGACTCTAACTCACACGGCATATTTCCATTCCTTTCTAGTGAGTCTCGAGGCCTTGGGTTGAACTTCCATGTCCGTCTTTGTCTCATTGGCTCAGGCTGCTGCTTGTCAGATGAAAGTTGGCAGCCTGCGCAGCTGTCTCGGAGCAGCAGGAGCCTTCAGACCTACGTGTTTTTCCAGACTTTGTTTCGTTCAAGGGGAGGTCAGTCTCGTGGTGCGGCGACAGCAGCAGCAGCAGCCTCAGCCTCCAGCTCCTCCCACTCTCCAGTGTCTTCATGCAGCCTCCCCCACAGGAAGCATTGCTTTTCCCACCATTCGGGAATAAAAGGAGAGCGGGCAGAGGGGTGCTTCATGAGCACATTTCCAGTGCCATACTCGGCCACGCAGGGAGAGGGAGGAATGCAGTGTGTCAGTGTACAAAATATGTGTGTGTGTGTGTGTGTGCTGTGGTCTTTGTGTTACTCATTGCTCTTGACGCTGAGTGCTTGCTAAAATAGTAAAGGTCTGTTGAAAACTGATAAATTGTTATTGGTTTGTTGTTAAATTTAGGTTGTCTGAGCTGGATCTGGATTATTAGACCGGCTTTGTGTGAACATTATTCTTCTGCAGCACATCCCATATCCTAAAAGGATATAATTCAAGCGTACAATGGCTTAGTTTAATTACTATGGTTTTAGGCTGAGGGGGGAAGATTATTATTTTGGGAATCGTCGTTCCCTTTCATTGTGTGTAGCTGTACGAAAGCTGGATGCCTGTTTATAAAGTCAATTCTTGGATTTCATCATATTACTTCCTGTGCAATTTTTTTAAAACAATACAAAGACTTCCCCACATAGTTTCCATTTGATCATGTATTGTTCCAGCTGACAGGATGTTAATATCACATATGATAATGAAACACAAGGAGACTGTATGCAAACAGCATTTGTGTAAACAAGTGAAATCTAAAATTAGCTTAAACCCCACGGCCATTAAACAATAAAAGAGACGCCTGCTGGCTGCTTGAGGTCAAATATACAGTATCATCTACAAGCACAAGTACAGACGTTTAGAAAGTCTGAAAATAAACTAATCTTTTAGAGCAGTAACATGTTCTCATACTTACTTGGGCTGTCAGGTTTCTGGGTCCCGGGCTTTGGGGGCCAACTTTGATGCTAGTTGCAGTTTTGATTCAATAAAGTCAATCATACAAATAGGAAACCATATTCAGATATCCTTTTTGTAAAGCTAGTCTGCCCTCGCACATGTAAGCACGCATCTTATCTAGATGGTATGCCTGAAATGCCAAGACAAGACACATAAAGTGAAATAAAATCAAAAGTGTAATTTTAACAAATTAGGCTGACATGTATCAGAGTGACACGTCTTTTCTTTCAAATTATAGATAAATGTTCACTTGAGTCAGTTGAAGATGTTAATAGCCATTTTCAAAGACATGTCATGACAAAAAAAAAAAATCAAACACTGAACTCTAGTCCAAACCTCCACTCTGATTGAACTTACTTTGTCCTGCTTGGTATTATGTGCTTGCTTTTGTTTTGCAGATGACAGCAGCGGTAATGGGGTCAATGCATTATGTGAAGGAGGTCCACTGCCTGGACATTCAGAAGTAAGTTCTGATCCATTTGAAGGCCCGGCTGGAGTGAGACGAAAGGCATTTTCAGTGAATTAGAAGTAGCTGTACAGCTCAGTTTGAATAAAGACGGCTTCTTCATACATTAGCTCCATTGTTCTGTCGACACCTATGAACAATTTGTATCTATATAGCTTAAAGCTATAGGTTTAATTAGCTTTAAGCAACAAACTCTGGACCATTTTTTCTTTTTAAAACAGCAACTTCCTGTTTCTGTGCTGGTTACTTAGCAACCTGAAAGCAATGATGACATGTGAAGCTCTTATCATGCTAACAAAATACTCTATAGCTTTCCATATATCATAAGTTTTGCAATTCAGTAAATTCACAGATTTTTCAATTTAGACTTTAATGCTCTGCAAATTCAACATTTGTGAATGGATTTACAATTTTCCCTTCTCTTCTGTCACAAAGTAGTTGACAGTTTTCTGCATATCTGTGGAATTTCCTCTCTGCTGACTCTGTCTGACTTTTGACTGACGTTGAGTCACAGTTTTAATTGCTGAGTCACAAGACTTTGTGAGTCTCAAAGAGCTCCTTTCATGACTTCATCAGTGAGAGGAATAAACTTCAGCTGCTCAAGCTGGAGATCCCTGCTAGATGCTTTGGTTTTCAGTGACATGTGAGGACATCCAACTGACCGAGGGAGCTTTCTTAATTAATAAATCTAATAACCGTGTTTGCCAACTCAGACATTAGAATTAAGTACTTAATGTTGGATATTTACTGCCAACGTTATAATAGTTACTGATCGTAGCAGCACCCTGGTTATAAGGAAGTCTGTTAGTGAATGTCAGGATGTGATAAACAAGTAGGGTGGAGTTCAGCTAACGGCTCCATAATCTACTTTTGGGCGTCAAGTACAAGAAATCTATTATTAACTTGTCTCAGTCAACAGGACTCATTTATTAAACAGTGGTGATAATTGTGTAGTCCTTCACCCAAAATTATTTATTTGACTTTTCTTTGTCATGAAGTGTGTTGGTGGTGGTGGTGAGATCGAACGCAGGACCCAGGATGTAGTGAAGTTAACGTCTTTTAATAATCAAATATAGCTCTAAACAGTCCAAAAACATGCAACACGGCAGAGTGGAAACAAAACTCAGCACCGGCAGCAACTAAACAAAGACTGACAAAATAGGAGCCATGCCGCCAGTTTTACCGTCCAGTTCTACTGTGACGGTAAAAACTAAAGAGAGAGCCAAGCCGCCACAGGACTTTCCAGTTCAACTGTGACGACTTAAACGAGGCTACAAAGAACGACTTATTAGACTGACTTACAACGAACGACACTGACTACCACATGGACTGCGATAGACAAACTTAGACACGACAAGGACCTGACAAGGAACACAGACAACAGGTGGGTATAAATACAGACGGGGTAATCAAGGGAACTGGATACAGCTGGGAAGCAATCAACGGGGAGGACAGGACAGAGACTCACAGGAAAACAGGACTGAACACAGAAAACAGAAACACGGAACATAACATTCTTTATGTATAAATCAATCAGTCTTTTGTTTTTTTTGATTTGCAGTGAACTCTGCACTACTGACTCTTCTATCGATAAGACGTGTTCACTACAAACCGCTCAAGGGTTTAGTGACTTTTAGCAATAGTGCTTACTCTTATGAAATTCAAAAGTCATTCAAGTTCAAAGTAAAACTCATGCAAAGTTAAAATCTTCCTTCTTTACATGTATTTTTTTTAGTTTCTATACAGGAGTATCAGTTTAAATCAACTGAAAATACATTAGGCATTCAATCATCTGAAAGTTTAAAGTTTAAAATTTTACTATGTAAGTGGCTTTAGCCACTTTGAACGTGTTCTTTGCTCCACCGAGTTATTTTTGTGTAATGACAGGCTGGAATTGGAGCGTTTGGCCTCTTCCTGTTTGATGTGGCACTTTATACTTCGGAGTTCATTTCCAGCATGAAAACACAAAATAATATCCCCTCCTATTGGTCTCTTACACATACTGTATTCAGTAGGTTAAACCCTCTATTGCAAACAGATTATTTTTTGTCAGATTATTCATGTCAGCATGTTTTGTGTTCCATCGTTGTTTCTCTTTCAGACAGAGAGGCTTCAACCAAACAGAGACACAGTGTTCTTCAGAGACGGCGTTCGCAGAATAGACTTTGTTTTGTCTTATGTAGACGATAAAGATGAGAGGAAGCAGGTAAGTTTGAAAATGGTGTTTCAATAACTTGACGACTCAGCAAATATTCAGTGCTGTCACTGACTAACTGCACCGCTGCCAACTTTATTACACAATCGAATGCCAGAGGAGAAGTCCGGATGCTCAAAAGAGGAAGTAAGATTCTGGATTTTTTCTAAAGACATGTGATAGATTAACTGTTGTCTTAAATTATATATACATAAAAGAAACAACTATGATAGGTAAAGTATTCCTCCTTTAGGGGAGGAAACATATTACAGCTAATCATAATAAAAATCTGGCTGTTTCATAGGTTTATTGTTGAAAGACATTAGCAAAAATCCAACAATTTTTTGTGGCATCGTTTCTTTATTGAAGCCACAGAGCTACAATATCTATGCTATTTATCTTGTATCTTTCATCTTCAATTCTAAACTAAACAGCCTGGGCAAAAAACAAAAACAAAACAAAAAAAAACTACCAACAAAAAGATCCACTGTGACATAGACCATTGTGTCTGTGTATTACTTATAGCTTGTTTTTGGTGCCCCCAAGTGGCCAAAATAGCTGAGGTGTGAAACAAAGTAAAAAGGTTAATGAAATGGACGATTACATAAGACTGTATGAAGACTGGTTACAAGTTTAAGATTTTTATTTTTTTTTAAGTTTGTTGTTACTACAAGACATTGAGGCATTTGCCAAATTTTATTTGGCAAATCTTATTATCGTCCTTAAGTAGTTCCTTCAAAAATCTACGTTTGATCTTGGCTGCTTTTTCATTTTAATTTTCAGTTCAGACCTTGATTAATCAGAGGAAGCTTTTATTTCTTTGAGAACAAATAGAAACTCAATGAATCATTTAATAATGAAAAAACTCCTAAACCAAACAGATTAATCAGTGGTCTGGACACAAATAACCGTTTCTCCCGAAATTCATTTTGCATGCACAAGAGGTTTGGCAAACAACATCTGTAAATTTTCTGAATGTCTGTCACTCAGTCATGACCTCACCGCTCTGACTATACTACAGATTATACTACACTTACATCTTGACAAGCAAGTAGGCTTACTTGCAGTGGATGTTGATATAAACCTTCTTCTAATTTCTCTTATTTGGTGGAGTATGTTAGAAATTAGTGAGCTGATGTGTTTACTTTCAGGAAAGGAGAAAGGAATTTGAGGCCAACCTTCAGAAAGAAGGTCTGGAGCTGGAGACAGAAGACAAATCGGTAAGGAGTCCCAACTCTTGAAGTACCACCGCCATCTAGTGTATATTTTTTTGTGGTGCATGAAAATAAACTGAAGCCATCTTAAAGGGATTGTTCAGTGTCCGGCGCATACTGTATTGCTGGTGACGCGTTTCTCAAATTATTTCTCTGTTAGGAGTCGAAAGACCACAAGACGTACTTTTTAAAGATTCACGCGCCGTGGGAAGTGCTTGCCACTTACGCGGATGTCCTGAACATCAAAGTTCCCTTCAAAGACAGTGACATGCAGCACGGTCCGGACGTCCATCTGGACTGGCTGTCCTGCCCTTTCCGCCTGCCCGACCACATCATGCACCCTCAGACAGACTACTTCACCTACCCCTTTGACAAGAATAAGATGGACTTCTTCCTCATCAATGACAAAGAAACTTTCTTCCCTCCATCCACGAGAAACAGAATTGTAAGCATAAGACATTCATGTTGATTTGATTGAGGTTTTTACGCTGAATAATTTGTGAAGATGTTTGTGTGTTTTAAAGAGTGTATTAAAATGTCTAATCTTTCATAAACTATCTTCCTTGCCATGAGGTGTTTTACATCCTGGCTCGTGTTCCGTACTACAGAGAGGGTTATAAGGACAGAGAGAAGACGGGCATCAAGCGATTACTCAACAACGGGACGTACACGGCAGCCTTCCCCCTTCACGATGTAAGGCTGATATATTTCAAACAGAAGGATTGCGTAGGTGCTGGGAATTTATTTGCTGAGTTTCTTTGCTCCATCTTTTTATTCAGTTTTGTTCTCGCTGCCGCTTCTCTAGAACTGCTGAGATTTTTTTATTTTTTTTTTTTTTTTTTAAACAGATTTAATGTTCCCGGTTCTGATTTTTTAGAATACATTTAAATGCATTTAAAATTGAATACAATGTATAAGAAGAAGGTTGTATTAAGGATGCGTATACTTACGCAATCAGGTTTTTGCACCATTTTTTGCACACTCCTCCCTCACTCTGTGTAACGGTTGTTGAGCTAGGACACATGAAAACCAGACCAAGAAAACAAACCATTTCCACCGGGAAAACGTTGGGTTTATGAATGCAACAAATGCACTTTTAGTTTAATGGAAGATGTTCATGATTGTGTTAATGTCCCTCTGGTTTTCAGTGTCGGTACTGGAAAAGAGCAAGAAACGCAGAGTGTGAGAGTGAACGCTTCAACTTGTACAAGCACTGGGCGAGGTTTCTCTGCTTTTACAAAGAGCAGCCTCTGAACTTGATCAAGTAACCAATTTTCACACCAGATTTTACATATGCCTACTTGTTATGTATTTATATATATTTTTTTCACTTCTTTGTGTGTTTGTTTCTTACAGGAAGTATTACGGAGAAAAGATCGGGATCTATTTTGCTTGGCTGGGCTTCTACACCGAGATGCTTTTCTTTGCAGCTGTCATGGGTGTTATATGTTTCACCTATGGAGCGCTCAGCTATGGCAACAACAAATCAAGGTTAATGCTTCTTTGGAACAAAGAACAGAATGAAGTTTAGATTTGTTGGGCTGTTTTGCCTCAGCTGGTCATAGATACATTTGCCCACTTTTTACAGAAATGTCACCACTTATTCCCTTCCTTCAAATGGTGAAATTTATACAGCATAAATAAATCCTGTGACGTCTTGCTCTAAAAGAGGCAAAATGCTTTTTCTTCTTGCGTTTAGTGAAGAAATCTGTGATGCAAACATCGGCGGCAGCATATTGATGTGTCCTCTCTGTGACAAAAAGTGTCCTTTCTGGAAGCTCAACTCCACCTGTTTCTCGTCCTGGGTAAATATCATTGACATAAACGGTAAAGTTTGCAGTATTATGTTAAATACAAATATCATCAAAATGCAGCTGGGGAATTTTCAGTTGAATTTAAGCTGCTAACATGGTTTTTTTTGTTGCATTATTGTCCTCATGAAATAATGTCTTATCACATATATTCATTTAAAACGGGTTTAGACCGAGCACAGTTAATAACACCATCTTGATCGAATCACCAGCGACCTGCTGAGTAGACAGTATGTCTCAGTATTTGTGCCGAAAATCCTCTGCTTCTCTCTGGATCATTTTTTTTCATTCTATCTTCCAGCAATCCCATCTGTTTGACAACGAGGGAACCATATTCTTTGCCATATTTATGGGGATTTGGGGTGAGTGTCCAGAGATCCAACAAACTCCCCCCCATTGTTTTACAGTTTGAACCTTTTCACACTAAAAAGATTTAACCTTTTAACCAAACTGTTCCAGAAAAACCTGCCAGCACAATTATGTTATTCTCCAGGAGCAGGGCAGCACCTCATGTCAATTAAAATCCAACACAAACAGCATTCTGCGGCCTGAAAAAAAACTACCTATTTCAGAAAAAATGTATACAGACTACCGTACATATAATGCATCAATAAATTGTTTTTTTTTTTGTTTGTTTTTTTAAATATATTTATTAATGTTTCTATAAACCTTTTCGACAGTAACTCTGTTCCTGGAGTTTTGGAAGCGGCGTCAGGCCCGACTCGAGTACGAATGGGATCTGGTGGATTTTGAGGAGGAGCAGCAGCAGCTTCAAATCCGCCCAGAGTTCGAGATCAAATGCACAAACAGGAGAGAAAACAAGATCACAAAAGTGGGTGATGCCATCATTTCAACAACAAATAAAAAAACTACGTTTTGCTAATATACATATAACAGTGTAAAAGCTATCAATATTTTTTAAAAGCATACATCTGAACAAAACCTAAAAAGTTCTAAAACAAATAAGTTCCATTGAGTACATATTAGGTTTTAATGTAAAAAAAAAATATTGATTTAAAATTGGCTTTAGACATTTATTAGACACATAGATGTGATTTGGATCTACATGTCTCTCATTAGAAGTTTAGACAAAGACATTAAATTTAAAATTTGTGCAAGGCTTGGAAAAAAGGTTGGTAATAATGGAAAAATGCCAAAAAGCAAAACCTCAAAGTCAGAAAAAGCTTCACTAAGCTAATTTCAGCAGCAGTTTTTCAGTTGCAATATATTCCAATAACGACATCAATTTACTCTGTTTTTTGTATTTGTGGGGTAAATTGGAGAGTTGGCGGTGCATGTAAGGTATGAGACAAATGTTTCTGTTTGTGTAGCTATTCAACCTCACCTACAGAAGTCTTATCGTTAGATTTCAAATAAAAACTAAATACAAAAAAAAAAAAAAAACTTTCATAATTAAGTCAAACATCTGCTAATTTCAGCCAGGAAGCCTTCAAACATTGTTTGGATGTATTTCCTCCTAATAACACTCAACAGGAAGTAAATTAGAGCTTGTATTTCAGGAAATGGAGCCATATCTTCCCGTCACGAGCAAGTGTGCACGTTTCTGCTTCTCTGGAGCCACCGTCATATTCTGGGTAACTGAGAAAAAAAATCCACATATTCGTCTTTGTTGCCACATGCTGGTAGCTCTTCCACATGCACATGTCTCTCTCTGCAGATTTCTTTGATTGTAGCCTGTATCATTGGGGTGATAGCCTACAGGCTGGCTGTATACGCTGCCTTTGCAAGCATCATTAAGGATCCAATGAGAAAGATCCAGTTGGTGGGCAGATTCATCACTCCGCAGCTTGCGACATCCGTCACTGCTTCCTGCATCAATTTTGTCATCATCATGATCCTGAACTTCTTTTATGAGAAAGTGGCCATCTGGATCACCGATATGGGTAGAGAGATTGAACTGATTTAAAGCAGAGTCTAACATGCCAGACATTTTTATTTTTTTTTTTTTTTTTTGCTGAAAGTGTTGTTTGCTTTGCTGCAGAAATCCCCAAAACTCACCTGGAATATGAGAACCGGCTGACGATAAAGATATTTATGTTCCAGTTTGTCAACTACTACTCGTCCTGCTTCTATGTGGCCTTCTTCAAGGGGAAGTTTGTGGGTTATCCCGGCAAGTACTCCTACATGTTTGGGAATTTTACCAAACTGAGGAACGAAGAGGTGGGTTGTCTCGTTCATTGCGGATCATCTTTTCACGTGAAACACGGAGGGTTTCATGTGGAATAAAAGATTCTCCTCGTCCCAGTGCGATCCTGGCGGCTGTCTGATTGAGCTGACCACGCAGCTGGTGATCGTCATGGCTGGGAAACAGGTGTGGGGGAACATTCAGGAGGCTCTGCTCCCGTGAGTCCGTCAGATGTTTTCAGCTTCATTTTCTTTTCTTTTTTTTCCCCACAAACAAAATAAATATAAAAAAAAAATAAAACCAAATATGGGTGATTCATTAACATTTACATGGTGAATTTTTTGAATGACTGAAAAAAGATTATAATTTTTTTTACACTAAACACAAGTTAGCATTTCTACAATCTCTACACTGTGAGAAAAAAAAAATCACTTTCGAAGGAAATAAACAAGAAACAATTTACATTTTCTTCTAGTATGGTCAAAATATTCTGCTTCCAACATATTTTGAGGCTAAGAATAGATTAAAGCATGCACTAATTTAGCTTTCCATTTATATCAGGATAAAATCGCCACTTGAGTTTGTATTCAACTCTTCATTTCGTCTTCGTGGCTCATTGGCAGGTTGATGCGCAACTGGTGGAGCAGCAGAAAGGGACGACACAACCCGGAGAACCATTACAGCCGCTGGGAGCAGGACTACGTTCTGCTGAACTTTAGCCAGATCGGCCTGTTCTACGAGTACCTCGAGATGGGTGAGAGACAAATAGATAAAGACAAAATGCAGCATATACCACTTGAAATAACTGCGGTTTGTAATTGTTTTACTGCACTACTTCTTTCTCTTTTCGTGGCCTCTCTTCACGTCTTTCCAGTGATCCAGTTTGGCTTCATCACACTGTTTGTGGCCTCCTTCCCTTTGGCCCCCGTCCTCGCCCTGTTTAATAACATCCTCGAAATCAGAGTGGACGCCTGGAAGTTCACCACCCAGTTCAGGCGACCAGTGGCATCCAAGGCCCGAAACATCGGAGCGTGGCAGGAGATCCTCAATTCAGTGGCGATTTTATCTGTCGTCACCAATGTACGTCTGTGTTTTTACGTTTTCTTGAATTGCTTTTCACAGTTTTAAGCATCATCTGTTGAGAATATTTCCTGTTCACTTATTTTTCCCCCCAGGCTTTTATCATGGCCTTTACCTCAGACATGATCCCCCGAATGGTCTACCTGTATGCCTACAGTAAAGATGCCAGCATGAGCGGCTATATCAACAACAGCCTGTCAGTGTACAACATTTCACAGATACATCCAGACAACATGCCTGAGGAGAATTGGCATAACTCCACCACCACATGCAGGTACATTTTTAGGAGTGCCAAAACCGAGACTTAGTTTATTTAATCCGTCTTTGTTTGAATCACGTGAATTCAGATATTTTCCTATGTCACAGAGGTTTTCAATGTGGAGAGGAGAACATAACGTTGAGGGATTTCTGGAAATCCTTGATTTTAAAATCCGTTTTCAGTTCACTCGCTGCTCTGTGATTTACTTATCATGTCATGAAGAGTTGATTGGGTTTTTCTGTTGCATAATTTAATCTCCAGTACAAGGTATGGAAGAAATTGTGAGCGTTTAGCCCAAACTATTGCAGGGGATAATTTTTACTTTCAGAGATCGTGTTTGTCTGGACAGTGAATCATAGTGTGGTTCATGGGTTTCATCTGTGCCACTGCTGCTCTATTTCATTCTTTTATAGTTGGTAGTCAGAGAGCATCACGTTGCTGAACGTACTTTTTCACCTTACAACCACAAACTTCCAACATTTTACTGGCATTTTATGTGGAAGACCAGCACACAGTAGTAGAAGGAAAATTGTTCATGGTTTTCAGATTTCTTTATGGATGAAAACTGTGTTACTGTGGCATGTGTTTGCATTCAAATACTCTAGTGCAACAAGTAGGTTTCAAGAGTCACAATTAGTGACGAAGGTTTACTTGCATGTCATTTGAAATCAGCAGAGCGACATCATGCCGTAGGGATGTGCATCTGCAGCAGACATGAAGATGCACATCTTCATGTCTGCTGCAGAAGGTCACCGTCACCGTCTTCTTGGAAGACGGTGACCTTAAGGTTGTTGCCAGAGCTACAAGGATTTTAGGTTTTTAGATTGTTCTTTAAAGATACAAAATTTTGAAATCATGTGTAAAGGGAATCTTTAAATGTTTGCAAGCATTCTTCTGGCTCATTGATTGATTTATTTTATTTTATTTTTTAAGGTTTAACAATATTTCTGTCTGTGATGCCTTTGTGTTTTTTTGGAATTTGTAGATATCGAGACTACCGTTACCCTCCAGGCCATGAGAGGCAGTACACCCACACTATGCAGTTCTGGCACATCTTGGCAGCCAAAATGGCCTTCATTATTATCATGGAAGTAAGACAACACAACTCTGTTCCAAACTTAAGCACTCAAAACCAACATGTGGCCAGCATGTAAATCTCTTCCACCTGTTTTTTGTTTGTTTGTTTGTTTTTTCTGCAGCATGTGGTCTTTGTGGTGAAGTTCTTTGTCGCCTGGCTGATACCGGACGTCCCGTCAGATGTGAAGGCGCGAATTAAACGGGAACGTTACCTGATCCAGGAGTACCTCCACAAGTACGAAGTGGAGAGACTGAAGGTGCAGTTGAGCGCCAGCTTCATCACAGAACCTCGGTCGGAAACATCCCTGACACCGGACAAACATGAAGTGGTCTCTGAGTGTTCGTAACCTGCATGCAACACTTCAAATGATCCAAGCCAAGAAAAAAAAAAATTATTTGTCAGGGTTTTTTTGCAAGGGCTTCCATCTTCAAAGTGAAAAATTGTGCTTTTCTTTTTAACATAAATGGGCCTTAGCACCTTTTAAGTTGTGCTCGTATGTTGGAATCCACTAAAGAAGGCATTCCAAAAAAAATAAAATAAAATAAAACCTGGAATTAGTTTTTATTGTGATTACTGTATTTTCCGGACTATGTTTTTCACCATATTCCATAGTTTGTCTGGTCCTGTGTCTTACAGTCAGGAGTGAATTATAAATGTTTTTTTTCCCCTCTTCATGATGCATTTTTTTTTTTGACTGATGCATTAAATACTAAATCATACTGCTGGACATGAACCAAGGATTAAACATTCCCTTCTGCAGCCTGAGCAAAGATAATTATGGCCTGAAAAGAAGACGACTAGAGCTGTGTTCTAGATAACGTCTAGATAGAAATGGAACATCTATCGGTGTTACCTTTCGAAACTACTGGAACAACTATGGAGGCTTGTGAACAGTGTATAGAGACATCCTGGCAGCTACCAGCCTGGAGACGCACCGGAAGTGGCCAAAGAGATGAATATAAATGACTTTCCAGCAGGGCCTTCTTGGTGTTACCACTTCAATGAGCCCAACCGCCCCGGATTTACTGCATGTGTCTGCTCTCCGCCCCACTGCGCACTTCACTGGCCACGCTGAGTCGTGGCACTTCACTGGCCACGCTGAGTCGTGGCACTTCACTGGCCACGACTTCACTAGCTCTAAAGCGCGCTCCCGATTTAGAGCGCGGGCATCGATGTGTCAGAAACCGCCAGCAAACTTCCAAGCCAAAGTTGACCGTTTCTGTGAGCTTGCTGAAATGCAACTGGACACATATGCACTTACTTGGACATATCATGCGGACAAGGTCCCCCTCATGTTTAGCAATTTCTAAATAAATGTGACTTATACTTCAATGTGTCTTACATATGTTTTTATGAATAATGCGAGTTATATTCCAGAGTGATGTATAGTCCGGAAAATATGTTAAAAACAATTTTTTTAATGCCATAAAACATTTTGGAAGAAGTAAAAGAATAAGAAGTAAAAGAAAGCAAACCTTATATCTGCAGCTGCTTCTTTTCTCTAAGAAATCTTCTTAAACTTTCCAAGTTTGCGAGCTAAAAACTCTTATGTGCTGTGATGAAGCTTAATGTGATCTTTGACATGCAAATTAAAGTGTAGATACTTTTTAAAATGCGATTATAGTTTTCCAAATGTTATTTTCTGCAATGGAACATGAAGGACTTATTTAGACTTATTTTATTTATATTATAAATAGGTATGTTTCTGACATAGGTAATGTGATTGGAATATTACATAGTGAAACTATGGATGTAAAAAAAAAACACAAATATTTGATTATTTAAGAGTGGAAACAAAGTAAAAAGATTTTTTTCTCTGTTTCCTTTCAAACTAGTAGCTACATAATGTTCACTTGCTCTGATTTACACTTGCAATGTTTAAGTTGTACAATTTTGATTTGTTATGGTGTTAAGGAGTATTATGTTTAGAGAAAGCCTCCTAAAAATAAAGCTTTGAAAAACCAAGTACCTCCTATTCACAGCAGTGATTCTCACAATCAGAAGTAGAGGATTTTATTCTCACAGTTCAGCAGCTGCAGACTCGTATCATTCCTTTCAGATTTGTTGTCAGTTTGTTACAGGATGTCTTACACAAAAACAAAGCATTTTTGCAGATTTATTTTTGTTTTTAATGGATACATTTTGATTCTTGAACTAGTTTCTCAGTGTGTGTAAACGTGTACATACAGTAAATCTCCAGTTTTAACTGCATGCCTGTGGAAAGGAACAGTTACACTATTAACTTTAAAGAGTTTAATTTCTTATCTGGTATATATATAAAATGTTCAACTGTTTTGTGTAAGATAACTCTAAATTCACCGTGTTTTCTGTGTAAATAGTTTCAAGTCACACTATCAAGCTTTTCTAAAGTAAAGGTGTAAAGGCAAATAGTTTTGCAATTTATTTTATTGATTTGGTTTTGCCCTGCAGCCTGAATCGTTACTGAGTAAAATTCTTTTATCTTTCCCATCAGATCAGTGGGTGTTGCTATAGCCTTCATAGTTCTATTAATTGCCTTTAAACAATGTCTTTAAACTACATTTCTTAAAAAAAAAAAAAAAAAAAACACGCTCTTATTAGGTGTCAGGGACCAGCCAAGATTAAACTGCTGTGCACATTGAAGCCAGCAGAGTTTAATGCAGTTTACATTTCTCTTTTTTGTTATCAGAATATTATCCTTGGCATATTTAGAAATTAGCCTTTTTAATCTCAGGATTAAATCCAGTCTAGTGTTTGTCATGCAGAACTAACATGTGTGGAGTTGATCATGCATGTTGCATGGTGAGTTCCCCATCAAATGCCTTAAACATGTATGTTGTCTTTATATGTTTTTAATGAAACATTTCTTAAATGCATTCTGTCTCATGTTGTGTGTTGCAGTTGTTTCTTATTTACCTTACTTGTTTTTTTTTTTTTTGCACTTGTCAGTGTAATGTGTTTCTGATTTTGTTCGCTGTAACTTATTAAACAGGAATATAATCTCTTCAAGAGGTCATTTGGTCTTTTCTGTGTGCTCATTTGATGCAAACCAACAAAAGTTGGTTTGGATTTCAAAAAGCAAAAAATGTCGGATAAACTTTTAAATGTAATTCCTTTTTTTTCTATCAGTAGGCAACACAACAAGAACAAGTTGATAAAATTAATCAGAATGCACAGGGGTTGAGGAAAATCGCATTTTCAGCATAATTCTTTAGGCACAAACAACAAATCAAAGCTATGAACCTCAAAGCCCAGGATCCATTAGAATGTAGGTTTTTTTTGGATTTATTTTTTTCTAAAGTTCCTTGAGATGGCATGGATTGTAAATTAACAGAGATTCTAAGTCAAAATGAATAAACATTTTATATCAATTGCAGTTGCTGTTATTGGAAATGTTTTTCATTTCCTCATGTTTTAGCCATTGCTTTAAAACTGGACAAAAACCCTCCATCTCTTTACAGTTAAAACCAATTTTCCATCAGATAATCTCTGTGCAGGAATTGACTGAAATATGTCATTTTGGGAACTGGGCTTTTTTGGGGGGCTTTTTCTTTGTGTGTGTGTGAGCTGAATTTAGAAATCATGATATATCCCTCAGCTGTTCATTTTTGATTGATGAACATATGTCTAAATAATTGGCAGACATTAAAGGCACCCTTGTTGTCTTTGCCCTGAAACACAGTGCCTTGATCAACAACAAATCACTATTTTTTAGCTGTACAGAATATCGAAACTTATTTTGGAACTGGGGGAGGTGTTAACATAACTAACAACGTTTCCTTGTCATCCTTTTCACTGCCAGGAGCATGGACATATTTCTTTCTTGAATTAAAGTTTGTGTCCAGTTTCTCTGCAACAAATTTCTAATTAAACTGATAATGCTACAAAATGGTAAAGACTGACATTCAAGTTACACACAATGACTGGACAAATATTTCAAATACTCAGAGAAATTGTACGTAAAAAAAAAAAAAAAAAATCGTGATAATTTTTCCCAGAGGGCCTAAATAGAACAAACTACCATCAGATTATTGACAGGAAACGCACCTATAGAGTCACGATAGGTGAGAGTGAACATAGTATTTCATTAGGAATCTGACAATTTTTCAAAAAATGAGTCAGAAAAACAGGTAGTCAAAACTTCCCCTTTCAGCCACCAGGTGGCAACCAATACCCACAAATGAGAAGAAAAGAGACCTTTGATTTATTTGCTGTAATTACTAATTATCAGGATTTCTTTCCCAACACTACACTTATTTATTTATTTATTTATTTATTTATTTATTTATTTATTTATTTATTCATAACTGCACAACGTTTATATGTCAATATTATTGTTTTATGATTATAATTGCCAATTCCAAATAAATGTTTGAATTTCCAAGGAGATAGGAGGACGATGACTCTTCCAAAATGAAGTTCGTTTGCCCTGCTGAAGATGTGATTGTCAGGGACAATGAGAATAGCAGAAATGCTTGAATTATTGATGGAATCCTGCGTTGGCGACAGGAGCTTGTTGAAGGGGGGGAGGAAGGGGGTTGGGGTGGGTGATGGAGGTAGTTCAGTTCATCTGGTTACCATAGCACCGCCCTCGAGAGAGCTGCAGCTTTCATTTTTCGGGTTACTGTCCTTGATTTTTTTTTTTTTCCTTTTTTATAAAACTGGGTATTGTCTGCATCCTCAGCTGCAGTCTGCATGTTAAATCAGGCTATAAGGCAACAGAAACACAATATATAGACATGTTCTGTAGCTAAAGCATAGTCTATATATATATATATATATATATATATATATATATATATATAGTAAGCAGCTGGCCAGCGGTCAGGCGCGGAGCTGCTGTCGCTGACCTCGGTGCTGAACACGACGTCAGATGAACCTGCTCTCATCACAGGAGACACCATCCAGCCTCCCTCCCTCTTTGATTTAATGCTTCTGTTCCAACGCCCCATTTTTTTCTTATTTGGCTTTTTATATTTAGCACTTTTCTCCTGCGGTACATGATTGCTTTGTTTAGTTCTGTTGTTGTTGTTGTTGTTGAACTCACTCTGCTCTCTCGCACGCTGCCGGCTCTCACTTTCACTCGCCTTTGGTTCGTGATGGCACTTTGTGCGGCTACTGTGCTCCAGGCGGGAGGAGAGCTGCTGGCGGATGAAGGCGCGCACCTCGTTTGAATTCCTCTCTTTGTCAAAAGGTGTTTTCGTCACGAGGTTTTGTCACAATTGCGCTGAAAATTAAACTCGCCTGCTGGATCGTCGCCTCCCTGGGCTCAGACTCCCTCCACCTCCGTTTTGTCGCTTTCCTGCCGCTAGCTGCGGCAGTCGGCCATCCTGCGCTGTAACATGATGCCGAGGCAGTAAAATTATTAGTATTATTATTACTTTTATTTTTAAAAGAACAGTCAACACACAAAGGCTGGACATGGAGTCCGTGAAGACAGGGGTCAAGGAATTTGCGGGGAAGACCCTGGGTCAGATGTACAGGTAGGGGCAGGCTTTTAAACTTACGCTAATTTGCTGTATTTTTCCACAGCGCTGCATCGCTGTGGATGCATGGGTCAACTTAATGTTTTTTTTTTTTTAATGGCTTACAGAGATCGCTAGTCATGCCTCTGTAAGTGAGAATAAAATTATGTAATCCCAATGTGCGTGCATGTGTGCGTGTGTGCGATGTTTACAGAGCTCGGATGCCTCTGGATGAAGCGGCCTTTACATGAAGCTTATTGGCAGGTTGGCTAAACGGGGCGCAAGGATTTCTTGATGTTTGCTGACAGTTTCCAAGTCATTACGATCCAGGATGTAACGAGGGCCTGCATCCAGCGAGCATGTTAAAATCACCCATTCCAACGAGCTTTTAAAAAAATCTTAATGTTTTTGTTTGTTTGTTTTTTAACAATCCAGGAATTAAAAATTGTCCTTCATGTCCAGTCGAGTATGCATTTCTTTAGACTTACAGCTACATTTACACCAGTCCTTTTCCCTTCTGGATATATGTTCAGTTTTTTTAGATATACATCTGGGCACTCTGCACGTGAAGTTAAATTCATCTGAATTTCGTTGTGCTCAGGTAACGTCACGCTGTTCCCAAGGCCTCCCCGATTTTCGTTTCTTTTCGATTTTGTGGTTCCTTGCAGAGTAACTCTGGTCGCGCAATCCACAGAGGATTTTAAGAGGGTGTGTGCAGCTGTTTTGTTCGTCCTATCGCAATCGGCATTTTGCGCTTATCATTTGTAAATGAACGTGCTTTTGCTGAAAGGGAGCGTGTAGTTGGGGGCCAGGGGGGGAGAGGAGTTTGAGGAAAGCCCACAGACGAGCGTCTGCAGGCTGCTGCTGCTGTCTCTGAATACTAATGAGCGTGAAAGTGTAAGGCTGCTGCAATGCGGTACAGTCAGGAACATGTTGATCCATTTTCAACTTGCAGGCCAAACTCTGTTATTTTGATTCTCTCCCCTTAGATTTCTTTTGATTATTGTTATTTTTGAGTAGATGCGGATGGGCCAATTTGACTTTGTACGTACTTGTGGTATTTCTTCTGTCTTTCAGTCCTCAACTGGATAACATCTGATTTTTTATTTTTATGTTTTCCCCTCAATGGCACAAAAGAGAAGAGTGTGTTCTGTAAAACACTGTTGCTCCAGAGGCCTCATCGGGCATTTGGGTCATTGCATTTCGCATTAAATTACATGAAATCTTTGGGATATCGCATTTAAAGCATCAGCCTACTGTAAAAGAAAGCATGCAGAAAAACGATGGTCTTCTAAAAAAAAAAAAAAATCAAAATTTAAAATGATCTTGTGTTAAATTATTTCAAACGCCATCACCCGTCTCTTAATAAGGGATGTTTTTGTGAGTGAGGGACTCAGCAGGCGGTGTTTCCTTCACCTGACTGTCTGCAGGGTGATAGAAAGGAGGCAGAAAACCGGGGAGGTGATCGAGCTGACGGAGGATGGGCGGCCTCGGGAGGCCGCGGAGAAAAAGCCCCCGCTGTGTGACTGCACGTGTTTCGGTTTGCCGCGCCGCTACATCATCGCCATCATGAGCGGCTTAGGCTTCTGCATCTCCTTCGGCATCCGATGCAACCTGGGCGTGGCTATCGTGAGCATGGTCAATAACAGCACCATCCACCAGAACGGCAAGATCATCATCAAGGAGGTGTGTGACGACGGCAGACGCGCGCGTTTACGCACGATAAAAGAGACAGAGAGAGAGAAAAATCTGACTGAACATCCGTGAGATGATATTATTTGTTTTTGGTCAGGGGGGGAAAAAAAGGAGGGAACAGGGTGAGTTTCCCTCCCCAACAGGAGTCAAAAAGGCCTTTTATTGCAATATGAGTCAACTGAATAATCCACTCATTAATGCAATTAGCTTATCATCATTATTAATGAACGTGGAAATATGTAAACTTCAAAATGAATATAAAACGAAGGAGATCATATAAGGCCATGTTTATTGATAAAACAGACAAAAAATAATCCGTTTTATGTTGAACATGAATTTACAGCCTATTAGGCTGATTTTTTTTTTCTGAAACCGCACACTGGTGAATGACAAAACCATAAATGCTTAGTTTCACATATTTTTTTCATGTGTTTTGCACTCAAGTCCAACAATTATTCGATCGCTAAAAGATTAAACAGGTTCATTTTGTTTTACTTGTTATAAGCCAGTATCTTATTTTTCATTTAGTGTCGTTACGCTTTTCTAATCGGATCGTTACTATTACATTTTCCAGCTTGCATCAATATTTCATGATGTGAGGAAAATCTGCAAAGTCATCTCTGCAACATGATCATTTTTTTCCCCCACAGCTAATCCAATTTTCCATATTTTCTTTTTTCCTCACCAGAAAGCTAAGTTCAATTGGGACCCGGAGACAGTGGGAATGATCCATGGATCCTTTTTCTGGGGCTACATTGTGACGCAAATCCCGGGAGGATACATTTCCTCGAGGCTGGCAGCAAATAGGTTGATCATTTTTCATAAATAATGACAAATATTATAAGAACAACAACAATACAAACACTCTCATTTGGTTAAAATGTAATTAAATATAACACGATTGTTTTTTGTTTTTTTCCTTTTAAAGTAACACAAAATCATCCCTATTCTCCTCGTTTGTATGTAATGAATTATATATATATATATATATATATATATATATATATATATATATATATATATCAGTGCAGATATTCACCATGTTCAATAATGCATGGTGAATACAGGGCAGTAAAATAGAGAATAACTGCAAAAAGCAGCAGACAGTACAGGCAGCGGGCTGGCGGCCCTGCAGCTCCTAGTGTCAAGGCTCCGTGCCACCTGTTAATGAGCTCCCTGGGGAGACCCGGGTCTAATCTGTCGCTCTCTCGGGGTATAGATACCAGACCCGTACTACTTGCCAAAGGCTTTTATTCCCCCGCCAATGTCTCGGTCATTGTAATTACGCATGACTTACGACACAGACACCCAGCAGTAGGCCCATTACCATGACAGTGCAAATTATATAAATTATAAATTATATATATATATATATATATATATATATATATATATATATATAGCTTCTGAAATTAATATACAACATTGGGAAATATTCAACCAATGTGTGAATCCATAAGAAATTATCCCGATTTTCAGTGCAGGGAAAATATTGATATCTTCCTGTAACCTGATTGGCTATAGGCCTCACCCCGCTTGATTGACGCGTGCGGTTTAATCTAATCATTTGGTCTCGTGCCCGACAGTGGCCTCCACTGGATTAGGGCTCGCCCCCCTCCACGTAAAGCTGAGTGCGGTGGGAGAACGTGCCAGAAATGACAAATGTGGGGTTTCAGTGGCCTTGGCTCGGATATAAACAGCCTAAACCTTCCGAAAGAAAAGTAGATATAAATTGGTCGTTTTAAATGTGCTTTTCTTGATTTTAGAGTCACAAAAAAAAAAAAAAAAAAAAAAAAGGCAAAAAAAACGGCCCTTTTTCCCTTTTTTTTTTCAAAATTTTCCACCCT